CCGGGATATCCTGGTGGGAAGGCGATCTCCCAGTAGATAGGATATCCCCTTGGGCAATTGAGCCACTTGGTGACTGCGGCGAGCATATTTAAATGCCCTTCGTGGTATCCCTCAAACTAGTCATCGCTTCCTCGACTTCGATCTTACAAAGCAAACACTTGTAGCCCGAAACATAATGATCGAACCTACATTATATTCCAGTAGACCAGTAGGCACTTTTTCTTAGGATATAGAATAGGGGCCTTCCCCCCCTCCGAGGGAGCATGCGGCGTAAGGGGAATTGTCTTAGCTTACAATTTTTTAATTCAGATTACAGTTTAGGATCACACATCCCACAGAGGGCTAACCAATAAATGGTAATTTCCCAGTATCCTACTATCCCAGGGCTACACACAGAGGAGCACCTCAATTGCTTTTTAATGTGTAATAAATTAGGCTTTACTTGCACTGATACTTGATTAGAGGATGGAAGGGGGGTTCTTTTTTTTTTTCAAGTCTTCCAAACTGCTATTATCATGCCAATTCTACAATCCCCCCACAGAGGCTTCGTTTAGCCAGTGATCTGGTGCCTATAGGCTATTTACTGATCTTCAGTGCGCCCGGTATGCCATTCTCTAAACTTAAGCCCTCTCAGTATATATATAAAAAAACACTTCGGGGGATCGATAACTGGTATGGTACAGGCCCTTTGGTCCCTACCTAACCCAACTCTTCACATTAATTGTAGTAGATTTTCTGCTGAGGATTTTCAGACATAGTGGGAGTGTAGGTAGAGCACTAAGGGTATACACCTGTTAGATATGGGAAGTTCCGAGAGCTTTTGGCCAGTCGATTACGGCTGGGTTTTCTCCTGACCGGCAAACGCATACAGTATATTTGAAACCATGTTTTAGAGCCAAGTCTGAGGGGCCGCTTGATGAAAGTGCAATACACAAAGCTGAAAGCTCGAGCGATGGCACTCAAAGACTTAACCTCTGAAAACACCGTAAGTTACGGTGTTGTAGACGGTTGATGAATCACCGCAGGCTGCAGCCGTGTGACATTATACAATATCAGAAAACAGCATCTCCCACTGTAAAATTAGATGCTGAGTAGCTATGTGCTTTTCTATCCTGGCTCACAGCAGGTTGAAGTGACCAAGCTTGTAGCTATCGTGCTCTACCGTAGTGGCAAATGTCAGGGGTGTGAGGAGGGAGGGGTGTTAGGAGAAGGGGAGGAAAATATTTAATGAAGATCAAAAAGGCTTGCCCAAACTAACTGTGTTTTCACAGCATCAAGGCTTTATACAACCCCTTCATATTTAAGTAGTCCCCGCACTACACAAGTTCTTACTACCTTGTTGTTACACCTTTTAGGCTTAGGTATTCTCTGTTGCTTGGTTGCCGGGTACCGTAGGGACTGGAAAGATTGACCCTCGTGCTAGGCAGTTGGAGCTCCCTCGCCTAGGAGGGTCAGTCGTCGTGTTTCTCCTTTTGTTGCACACCCGAAGGCTGAGAGAGTCTTTTTTCCGCCGAGTATTTCTCCTCTAATCCAAAGAAAGAAATCCTGGACACCTTAGCGTGAGGTCCAGCTATCCCAGTTTTTACCAGGAAGAGAGCCATGAGCTCTAGGTAACACCTCCGCATACCGTAATGCCCTGCTTATTACGTAAACTAATAATCATCCTCTCCCTTAAGTGTTACATAGTCGAATTCTGTTCCTGTGAGCGCACAGGAACTAGCCACTCCACACGATAAAGAGGACATTTAGTTTAATGTCCCTACCGCCAACATGTTCACGAAGTACACGATAGCCACCCAACCACTATCTTATACCACGGGACCAGGAGTACCCCTTCTGTCCAATCCCAAGAGAATTTACCCCGATTAAGCGTGAAAGTGGTTAAAAAATCATGCTTTGTTCATATCAGCAAGAGGTGGGGGGTTATGAATTGTCAACCCACAGACCCAGATGCTAAAGGACAGCCAGGTGAAAGACCTAGAGGGGAAATTTACAGTATCCGAGGGTCGTATCCAGGGCATCGCCGAGGGGAGCCAAGTTGGATCCATGGTATCCCTAATAACAATTCCAGGAGCCGACAATGTATGATATTTAAAGATCTAAGTCGAATTCTCCTTTCCTCTGTGCTCTGTGTAAACCCTCCCTTTCGCCATCACCCCCGCTAAGATATACAAGGTGTTTCTCCTCGTCCGGCTAACGGGCGCTGGCTTTTATGGTGGGTTACCGTACTACATCATACTATGTCGTATCGTGCACTATGCAGACTCAATGTACGAACCCCACAAAAGCCCGAGTGACTAGACATGACCTGTGAACAGGGACTATTAGGTAGGGATCTAACGCTTGCCTTTTTTTGCGGTTTTGGAAACAGTGCAGCCACGGCCTATCAGAACTAGAGCTGAGAAGTCGGTGGGTGCGGGAGCGGTTGGAACTGCCAAAAAAGACGGTTTCCTGTGTTGGATTTCTTATGGGGCATTTACCTATGCGCTAGTATGATATGGCATGAAGTTATAGGCAGTCATCTCCGCATCCGATACCATTAGGAACAAAGAGTGGTGTTTTTTTTTTTCAATTCCTTTATACCGGCTGTCCTTGTGCGTCCGGGATCGGGCGTCGGATTTAGCTTTTTCCACCTTTTGTGCCATTCGGTGCAGAGTATTGGGTTAGATATCGACTTTCACCATAGTAGTGGCCTATTAGGGGTGATTGTGGAGTGTTGGGGGAGCTGATGGATCATCTAGGGTGATGGTTCACTGTTAATATGCCCTCTCGGGGCTTCTACTGAGCCCCTGTCATTGCCGGAATAATCCCACGGATTCGGTTCCTGGCGCTGGCTCGCGGGGTTTAGTTTAGTTTCCGGAAATGTGAACGTTCTTGAGGTGTATCATATGTATCCCTTATCATGCTTTTAGCTAGTGTCTACGTGGACCGCCTGGCTCACTATTTCCTCACCTTTAGTTGTGCTTGGCCCACACTCATCTCACTCGTAGAATTTCACCCATCAGCCCTCATTGTGTGCCCGGTGCCCGAAAACCGAAAGTTCCGTTTTGATTGTCAGAACTAATTTCCGAAAATTGCAAAAACGACTAGGCGTGGGTCCCCCTACCTGTATTGGCTATTCGTGATATCTATTCAAACTATGAGCCGAGTACCGGTGAACGGTCCAAATCCCTGACCTCAGTAGTGATTGGTAACCTCCCCCAAATCCTGCACCTTAAATAAATTCTAGAAAAAAAACTAAGAACGGCCTAATGCTCAGCAGTTAATAGTATATTTGGGCCAGCAGAATGGCTATGGTGCCCTATCCCTTGGGTAGCCTGAAGCAGTAAAATTCACAGCTAGGTGGATGAGTGACTTGCCCACAGTTTTAATTGAGCTCTCATTGGTAGAAGTAAAAACCCTGCAGGTGGCCCAGTGACTTGATCACAATGGCGGAGTCACTCATATCCACCTGGCTGTGAATTTTACCGTTTCAGACCACCCAAGGGATACCCTAATCGCAAGCTACTACAATCGGCTACTCAAATACATGCCCGGACACAAGCGGAAACTAATAAGCATGCCAATCCCCCACCACCCTAAGAGGCGCCGTCATAAGTAACGCCGTCTCTTCCTGACACCCTGGGGCGAAGACAAAATTGGATTGCCCTAGTACGATGAGTTAGTATGCACCTAGATGAATTCTCCGGAAGCCACTATCCAGTGAGACCATATCTGATGTCAGTGATCATCTCCTTCCAGGGCGTTCAGTTGCTGAAGTAATTTCCCCACTGAATATCCGGGGTATTTAGGTCCCACTGAACTTGGGTTATTTTCAGGGGCATTTCCGAGTCAGCACCGCCGTGGAAGATGAGGGGATCAAATCCAGCGCCCGCCTGATACACTAAGGACTAAGGGGAGTTTGGGTTAATTTGTACCGAAAAATACTGCCAGGAATTTTGACCTACCACTCACCTATAGTGCAGTTAATTGTGTAAGAGGCAAGGGAGTTGGTGAGAACTTATAGTACAAATGGCTGAAATCCTCATTGCCAGAGAGGACTTCGATATCGTGGTACCGCAGAACCCTCGAGTGTTGTTCAGCGTGCAGGAAACAAGTGAGAGCTATACCGGGCAGATATAGAGAAAGATTGAGAAACCTCGTCTCGAATTTCTCTAACCTGCTGAAGGCAAACAGGGGTTTGAATGGAATCTGAGCAGATGGATTGAAGAGGACTTGCATGATATTTGGGGAATCCTAGGCCGTTTTTCTACTTATCCTTTGGACTTCTAGGCCCAAAAACAGAACTATTAGTTCAAGTGCTTGAAAACATACGAAGGGATAGCGTGATTAGAATTAATCCTATGATCGCGCGTCGTTAGGTGTCGGCTGTTGTCATGATATAATACCAGGTTTTACTTCACTACCGGTATTAGTATCATAGTAATTCCAATCGTGAGAGTGGTAGGGTGCGATTTTGGGACTACTAGTTGTCTTTCCGTAGTCACTTTGTCTGGGATGTGAGGACCGAGTCGAGTGTTCCTAAGATCTTTCCTAACTCAGCTCTAACAAGACATGGTGTAAGACTTTCTAGGATGTTTGCTTAATTCTGCTGCTGATTCCCTCACATAAAAAATCCCCCATAAATTAAGTCCCAATACCAGTATTTACCTTTCCTCCCAAGTGCACGCCTGACCAAGACAGTTATAATAGCGCTCTGCTTGCACATCGCCGGGTGCCAAAGCCAAAGTCAATAAAAGTAACTCCAATCATAAGGCGTGAAGCAGTCAGGTCACGTGATCTCTTGGCGATCGCGGGACACGAAAGCGCCTCTTCTCCGTTGCCGCGGTAACGGATTTTGTTTAGAATAACAACCCCCAACCTCCCCTGCGAGTTCACCTCTCCCCCAATCCAACAACCCCCCTCCATACCACCCATCATTATCGCGAGAACCCCCATATATCGTGAGATAATCGCACTTTGATACATTTCCCTTCTTTTTCTCTCCCTTATAAATCATCATGACTGAGCCTCAACCTCGAAAATACCTTACTCGTTCGAGAGCAAAGGCAGAAGCCAAACCCGCTGAGAGTAAGCAACCAGGGAAGTCCCAAAGGACATCCGAGAAACGGAAAGCTCTCGTGGAGGCCGCCAGCTCCAATGAATCCGAGCCACCGATTAGGGCCACAAGAGCCTCCAAGAGGACTGTAAAGACGCAGGATCCAGCTCCCCCACCAGCTCGCGGGGTGAAGGCTGCTCCGAAGCGCAAGTCTGAGAAAACCGCTTCCACCGCTGGGAAGAAACCCACTACAGCTGCAGCTAAAGCATCGAAAAAGGTGGCGTTTGTAGCTAGCCCTCAGAAATTCCTCGAGAACAAAGAAAATCTCATTCCCGTGCAGAAAAGCGGCCATCTCGACACCGACGAACTCATGTCAACATCAATGGGCGCATTGTCGGTCAAGCCTATTCGGGTGCCCGCCACCAAACTCCGGTTGCCAACTGTGACCCCCTCCACAGTTATCCTTGATCCAATACCTGCCTTGTCTCCCTCCAAGGCTCGACGAGCCCCTATTAGGGATCTAAAACTTCCGGACGACGGATCGGAAGATGAACTGTCAAGTCCGCATCATCCAAAGCTTACAGCTAAGCCCAAACGTGTTGGCAGAACTACAACCAAACCCGTTGGCATGGATTCAAACGAGAACAAACCTCTTGATATCTCTGCTTCTTTGATCTCTTCCCCGGCAAGGAGACCGCCCTCGTCGCCGTTCCGGCCCAGAAAAGGCAGCCTCCTAACTAAAACATTGGAGCCATCCGGATTGCCTGGCTCAGTCTTGGCATCACCGGCCAGACGCCCTGTTCCTGGAGCGATCCCTGGTTTCAGAGCTAGTCCGATCAAAGGCAGCTTCAAGCTCGAGCCTTTCATTGACCTTAGTGCGATTGACTACCAGCCGCCATCAAAGCCCGGAACCCAAAATCTCCCAAAGAGAGTCAAAGTCGGAAACTACGTGAAAGTAGATAGCGATCAGGATGAGCTGGAAATGGACATCGAGACGAACTTATTGAGTCGCAAGACTCCACGTGTTGTCAAAATCAAATTGTTTGATTCCAAGGACCCTGAACAGGCAATGATGTTCCAGTCTGAAGATTCTTCTGCCCTTTTTGACGAGATTATGTCGCCGGCAAAGAAGGGGCCTAGGCCCCTGGAAGCCAAGTCCTTGGACAAGATGTTCGAGGAAATTGAGTCGGAAAGGAAGGCAGTATTCTCAGTGGCAATGGCAAAGGCTTCTACCCCTCCCCCTACACCTCCACGAGGATTTGATTTTGAGAACTTGTTTGGGTCGAGCAATACATCTCCTGCCCCTCTTCACAAAAACGCTCCCAGACTCCAGGAGGCGCCAGAACCGGAGATCGATTTTGAAGGGGATACTACGATGGGAAATTCGGAGGATAACACGGAGACTATCCTTAAAAAGGAGCTCTCACTCACTCCTTCGCGAGCGCCATCATGTAACAGGAAGGGCAGAGGGCCGAGTCAGAGTGGAAGTAGTTATGGGTTCTTCGATCTTGAGGATGATGATGAGCCTCTTGGTGATAATACCGGAGAGTCTTTCTCTCCTGACAGATCCGTCCGCTCCCCTAACGTTAAGAGCGTCCCTTCCATAGATTTGACGATGCAGCCAGAGCCCGAGAGAAGAACCTTATTCCCCGAAGCTCAACAATCGCAGAGCAGCGAAGTAGGACATGATCTCGACTGGAATCCATCAAAGCCCAACACTAGCATAGACAACATCTTTGGCATTCCTATCGACCCCGAACTCCTCTTAACGCAAGAAGAATTCCTCGGAATCGTCGAAAGTCATGTCCGCAAGACCACAATCCCAGTCAACCTTCCCCCAGAAGACAGTGAAGGCGAGGGCTCAGAGATGGAAATTGAAGACCAAGAAAACTTCCATCCTACCCCCCATTCCTCAAACATCCAGCGGGATCCATCTCCCACGGTCCGCAGCTCGCCACCTGCAGCGTCAAACCACTATGCCCGCCGCAACAGCGGCATGGTGAGTCAGATGGGTGTTCTCGCCGGCGCAGTTGTATTCGTAGATGTATACACTGCCGAAGGTGCCGATGCATCAGGACCGTATGAAAATACTCTCCGCGGTCTCGGAGCTCGAGTTCTGAAGTCATGGAATTGGAACCCAGACGGTGGGAACAAGGACAAGATCGGAATCACACACGTAGTGTTTAAAGAAGGCAGTCCACGCACTCTCCAGAAGGTCAAGGACAGCAAAGGCGTTGTCGTATGTGTCGGCGTCGGCTGGGTTATCCAGTGCCAGAACGAACAAGAGTGGATGGATGAGAGCCAATTCGCTGTTGACTTGGATATAATTCCGCGAGGTGGACATAGGGTCTGTTTTGCCATCCTCACTAGATACTGTTACTATGGATGCTAACTCTATCGCAGCGCCGTAAGTCCATGGAGCCGAAAGCCCTTGCAGCGCTCCTCGAGCCGAAGACTCCACAGCCTCCGAAGGACAATATATTCTCGCCCTCGTCGCGTGTTCCTGCGCAGACTGAACCAAAGAATCCATTCTTGGCAAAGAACCTACTCATCGCGCGGAGAAAGAGTATGCAATTCTTGCCCAAGGTTGGAAGTCCACTCTCTAGGAAGCCGTTGTCCGTGGAGTACTAGGTGCGCTCTAAAGGTTAACGGGGGTTGGTTTCAGCAGTGGCGGCGGTGGTGTTTAAACCGGAAGTTGAATCCCGTTCTGCTAGTTTCTGTTAAAGTCTTGCAACAAGTACGATGGTTTGTTACCACTTTAGGTGAAAGCGATAGTTTCTCCGCAAGGTTTGGTACGCTTTGTAGTAAATCTATTAGTTCGTGGGGCCGTTGGTGGGGCTATTGTATGGTAGTTTTTCTTCCCTTTTTTCCCCCTTCTCTATTCATTTCCTCTCGGTGGTGATTGATGATATTCTCATTTGTGATATTGAGCGCAGCGGATGTTCTGAGATTTACATTTTTCCAGAAACTGCTTGTTTCGCGTTTTTCCGGAGTATGACGTTTATTGTGTATATGTTAGATGTATCGTTCGGACTTTTTTTCTTAGTAGACCCATCGACCTACCGGTGTGGGCTAGGGCCTTTTAAGAGGGTACTCGTACAGTACTCGAGTAGTTTAGCAGTTGAAGGAGGGGTTTTTACCGACTGTGAGCCGCACATGGGTAGACGGCTTGGCACGTAGAAGTTTTTGCCTAGAAAGGCACTTTCATGTTTCCTTACTGTACAGTATTGTAGCTAGACAAGAACAACCACACCTGCCTCTTCACGGTTAGTTTCATCACCACCGCATCTCGTTTGGGTTCAGTCTTTCCTCAATTTGCACTTTCCATATCGACCCTGATACACCGGTCCTATTCAAGATCAATTTTATCACCACAATTCCTCGGCATAGCACGACAGTGACAGTTCCATTCTTCCTTACGGGCGTGCCTGGTCAAACCACCATCCAATTGGGGAGAAGAGAAAGAGATTACCCACACCGGTAATGGTGAAGCACACGGTTGAGCTAGCTATTCCTACTCCGTAGTGATTTTGTTCTAATTTGGTTTGAGACTGTCCGCTAGCTTATTGGTTGGGTCTCACGACCGATGGCCATCTATCAAAGGTACAGCACAGTACTGTACTGTGCAGTGCATGAATATCGTCTTCATGTTCAGTGATAGTCTACGTGACATGTATCTGCTCTTAAAAGACAATAATTCTGTGACCGTTTCCTCGTACCCGCAATCACACATGGTGAGTTAGCTATCGTAAAAATTCGAATAATCGGACACGTGCCGGCCAGTCGGATTAGAGTTCGGTATCATTTCCTGAAAGTCGGATTGGAGCTGGGGGACACTAATGCATCGGGAGTAAGCGGGGAGGCAAATTCAGCTACCCAAGTAGACTATAAAATCTTTAGGTAACACAGAGCAGGTAATATCCTACGCGAATTGAGTTAAACAGAACAAGCAGAACAAGTTAACCTTTAACCATGGTAGTCAAATTCAATCTCCAGTATTTCTCCCTGGGCCGCTATTTCATCTTCAATCCTAGCATTCTCCTCTACTCCTCTTTCCTCCCTCAAATTGCCATTCTGAGTACCCTAAATGCCTTTACCATCATATATTGTCTTTCTGTACAAAACTGTAAACAGGTTAAGTGGTTCAAATAGCCTATATTTCACTACGGACTGAGACAAACGACCCATACCACAGGATTGGAGATTATAGTGGGAATCAGCTGACTAGGCAGGAGGCCAGCGAGGTACAGCATCCCCAGCCAATCAAGTGCCGCTAGCATGAAGTGTTCTAAAAGGCGGGGAAAGTTTACAACTTACACACTCCCATGTAGTTCCTATTGCATGTGTCAGGCTAGTGCCTGATATTAACACGCTATGAGTGGCAACAAACACAAGCGGCGAGGGCGAGCGGTACACCAAAAATCTAGAGGCAAACATCGAAGTTGGTAGGGTTGTTCACTATACTGTACTCGAGTACTGTATGGTACTCCTCCTGTCCGCTCTCCCCTTTATTATGCTGGTTGTTTCTCTTCATGAAAATTTACCAGCCGCAGTCCTACTGGCAGCGGTGAGAGAGTTCAGTATCTATCTACGTACTTTTAGACAACTCCCGAAGAAGGGCCTTGAGATATGGTAGCAGGCCGGACATGCTTTCACACTAAACCAACAATTTCGACACAACACAGTTTCTATCAAGAGTGATATACCATGATCGCATCTCACGCCCAAAGTCCAAAATGTCTATTCCCAAGAGCCTATGCAAAGAGCAAAGAAAAAAGAAAAAACAGACCAACCCTCAAAAGCCTATACAGTTGCATTCGCAAGGAGAAAGGGGAAAGGAGAAGGGGGGAAAGGCAGTAAAAAATCCCGCCCTTCACGCCTCTGCGCTATCTAGCCCTCCCTTCCCAGTGCTAGCGATTGCCTCTGGCCCCTTAACTTTCCTGAGTTTTTCTTCAAACTTTTCAAATTCACGGGCAGCTACTTCTTCTTCTGGATCCATTATTTGCTCGACTGATTGGACCTCTTCGATCTGTTTGGTTGGTTAGCATGAATACAATTAGGAGGGGAGGAGGAGGAAAGAAGGGGAGGCACATAATGCATAAGCATAGATTCAATTCCATTCTTTAATGTTACTGTCGAAGAATCACATGTTCTACAGGCGCCCCTAAGTTTCAACTTAACAACGCCGTTCTCAAAGCCGCGGTATTCGATGTCTCCGCCGTCTGTTCATTCATGTACATTAGTACCAGTCTACTCGCGCCTAAAGAAGCAAAGTAATACCCACCCTCTTGAATCGCCGGTCGAATCCTCGTCTCCAACAGCTCCTTAATCATCCCAACCACCTCTGAATCCCCCTCCTCCCTCTTTGTATCGCTGCTCTCCGCAGTGCCGTCAAGCACAACCGGCTCCCCACTGTTCAACGCCTCAGTGATAAGGCTATAAACCTCCGCCTTCAAAAAAGCCCACTGTGTCTCCTCATCCTTAGTAATGGTGATGAAGTCCGGCCCGTAGAATACGCTACGAACTCCATCAACGGCAAATAACTTCCGAGCAAGCGGGGAGTTGTGGGTCTCGCGGCCGTCAATGTACTCTTGTGACTGGCAGCCCTCCGGTAGGACCGGGAGACCGGGAACGAATTTCAGGGCAGATGGGTTGGGCGTCGACTCGGTTTGTATGAAGAGTGTGCGCTTGGGTGTTCGGAGGATGTGGGTTGTGCGTGGGACGGTGGGGCGGTAGAGGGTGTGGAATTGGCGCACAGGTGGGAGGAGGGCAAAGTGAGGTCGGGATTGGAGGAACAGTCTTGTGAGAAGCGTTCGTGAAGACATGGCCGTTCGTTTATCGTTTGTTTCGGTAAGCGGTCGCTATGGTGAGACTGTTTGGTTTACTCGAGTAGTGGGGCGAAGAAGTTTCCGACGAAGGGTAACCTATGACGAAATTTGTAAGCGATGGCAACCGAGAAGCTGCCCAAGAAGCCTCAACCACCAACAAACACCACATAAACTCTTCAACCACACAACATGACAGTGTGCAGGATCTGTCAGGAAGCTGAGTCGAAATACAAATGCCCTACTTGTAGAGCTCCATAGTATACCCCCCAACCCAATCCCTCCCTTCTTCCGCACTTAAACACATACTAACGCATTTAGCTGCTCCCTCACATGCTACAAGCCGCACAAAGCCGAACATGAAGCAAATCCTTCACCAGCTTTACCGCCGCCAGAACCTCCCGCCGCTACCCCCACCATTCCCGAGGCGCGACCCGAAGACAAAGACCCTTTCTCTCCACTGTTAACAACACCTTTAACCCCCACACTCCGAAAGCACCTCCTCTCAATTCACGCCGCAACCCAGAAGCCCACACACAGCCGTAACTCAAATTACCGTAGTCGCAGTGGTGGCAGGGGCAGAGGTAGAGGAGGAAGAGGAGGGGGTGGCAGAGGAGGAGGATACGAAACCCGCGAGCGGGAATGGACGGAAGAGCATGAAACTAAAGCCGCTATTGAAAAGCTCCGGAAGCTTCGGGAGGAGGGTAATGAAGAAATTGAGGAATTCGTGCAGATGGTGGTTGGCTTGGTAGAGAAGGAGCAGGGCGACGCTCTTCGATAGAGGTGAATCTAGGTGCACGCGTTGACTGCCCCGAAGGGGGCTTCATGCTCTAATATTTACATATTATGGATTTTCCTCCCATTTACTTCCACCTTCCGGCGGAGTGATCCGGACATGGCACCATATCGCGCCGCTCATTCCCCCCCTCCTCTAGACTCCCTTCCGAGCCGAGGGAGACCACGTAATTGTGCTCTATCATCGCGATTTATCCGAGAGGTAGGGGGCTGCTTGACTTGCCATCAAGTATCGGGGGCGTAAAACTAGGCGGGGGACCCTTGGACATTTAAATACCATTCACCCCCATGTCATGCATAGTGCCCGCAGGCAGCTCCAACAGAAGCATCACACTCCTACGAGCAACGCCAAATCGCATTGCTTCATATATTCCGTAAGATAGCAACTGTATCTAATATATATCTCAAAGTGGCCGAATTAATCTTACCCGGTAAGAAAGAAAGACGCCATGCGATACAGCTAAAAATTCCGAGGGGGGGCAATTGCTGCCTGAAACGAAGTTTTCGTCTCATGATTTCTCTAATCCTTCGTAGTGAATCTACAGCCACCACCTATAATATGGTACCGCATACCATCAATAACTCAATCTCATGCAATACTCCATTCCCAAGACACATCACACACCACTAAACTCTAACAGACTAACACTTCACCAAGAGACAAGCCCTCCCCCCCCCCTAGAAGAGAAAGCGTAATTCTATCTAAGATCAAGATAGGAGACATTGTAGGAGCACTCGAAAGATCCTTAATCTAGTGCCGGTGCTCACAGACGGCCTGGACCCGTCGATCTACACATTGTACTCCAAAGGCCGGACTAAAGTGCTATAGATGGATGCGATCCTGATTTATGCCACTTTACCAACTGATATCTGGCCTAACTCCACCGGTGCCCAAGCATCCGCGACACATCCCAACTACCAGAGAGGAACAGGCGGCGGGCACGGGGAACGAATCTAAGCCCGCGAAAGCAAGACAGTGTGCCGTAGCAAGGCGATTAACCAACGACAATTTAACGAGTGATTTCTTGTGACAACTGATTTCTCGTCACTCTGAGAGCGGCTGGGGCGCTTTTCTATATGAGTGAGGCGAAAAAATCATTTTTCTCCCTTTATGCTACCGCGGCAATTGCGGAGCTTAGCCCGGATGTATGGTTTAGAGCTGCATTTTACCATCATATAGACAGACACCTTGCAGTAGGTCCCGTTCGGGGTACAACTGTCTCAAGGAAGTCTAAGGTGCTCGGTCGCTCGATCCCTCATAGGACAGGCGTTTCTGATTCCCTGGACTTGTGATAGTCGTTCAAAGCGTGGTGTCTGACTTAAGAGTCGGACCCCCCCCCCCCCCCCCCACGCGCGTCAACTGCACCCGGAGTTTATCCCCCTCCTACCGATCATTAAATCCCACTCGAACAGATTTATCTCAAGGCAGAGAAGCGGAGACCCGAATGTGACGAGTAATATTATATTCAGCTTCGCTATATTCACAAGGTCCTATCTAACCCCCAGCCCACCCTCGAATTTCCTCCTTCCCATACCAGACCATTCCCGTTCCATCCGATCATCCACATCACTTCAATTACCCCTCGAATCCATTTCTACCCCGATTATCTACAATTTCCAGCCTTGGGATGAAAACAACAGGCGCTTGATAAAAGCTAGAAAAGAGAATGAAGTGAAGGAGAGAAGCGAAATAGAAACAAGAATAGTCCGAGCCCTGGGATATCGGCCGTTTCGAAGGGACCCACGAGCCAAAGGGGATGAGAATTAAAGGCATTTACTCATAAGCTAAGTGAAGTATAAAAGGGAGAGAGAAAAGATAAAATGTACTTTCAAAAAAAGACCCAGCTTTTTCCCCCCCAGAAAAAAGCGTCGCATCCACCAGCCGAGCTAAGAACGGAAAGCTCAAGATACAAGAAATAAATAAAAGAGCCACCACCCCTATCCTCCGGCAACCAGCCGGCTAGCTACCACTTAGCACCGTGAAAGAAACAAAACAAATCCGCCATAATCGCCAAATGAGTGCGCACACGCACGCAGCTAATTGAGGGGCCACGTCTTTCACCGAAAACATGGTGTCGTCTTCTACTACTTGGACTTGCTTCCGTCACAACCCAGTTTCCCCCTGCTGCTGCTGTTGGCTTGTACCCGCGCCATTGGTTCCATCATTCCTGGGGAAAACTGGTAGAGTTTCTAGGTTCTTCCCACGCACCCATTGTCCCCTGGGCTGCACCGTTCTGCTGTTGCTGGGCCATTATACTCTGCCTGAAGGGGTTTGTCACACTTGCACCCGTTGCGTTGACAGGCACTGTCAATCCGGTTCCAGCACTCGACACACTTCTTGCAAAGGGATTAGTTCCTGTGGGCATTGAGCGTACTGTGGGTTGTGCCGATATTGGCATTGCTTGAGGGTATGCAGATGTAGACTGCGTTGAAATAGGATACGCAGATGGGGGAGAAGTCGGAGACAAATTGGTGGGCGACGCTTGTCTCGCAAACGGGTTTGTAGATTTGGGCTGCGTGGCCACGGGGGGTGATGTTGCGTAGAGAGATGGAGCTGTTGAGACAGACCCGGTCATCATCATTGATTGCCGGAATGGATTAGTATCTGTCGCACCAGTGGACAAACTAACGGCAGGGGAGAGAGACTGCTGCTGCTGCTGCTGCTGCTGCTGCTGAGGCTGTTGCTGGGCCTGCTGGTAGTTGGGTTGTTGGACGGGCTGTTGGGCGGGTTGTTGGATGGGCTGCTGGATGGGTTGGGTGAATCGGGGCGGGATTGTGGGCATTAGGGGGGCAGTAACAGCATTTTGATCCGATGGAGTATAGCCTCCAAAACCTGCTCCGGTAAAACTCGGCTGCATATGTTGAGGCTGTTGCTGAATGGTCGGCAGGTCGCTCGCCCGAATAACTAGGGGAAGAGATTGTTGCTGGGTGACTTGGTTGTAGGGGTTCTGTGCTTGGTAACTAGTTCCAAACGCGGATCCTGTTTGTGTGGGGAACTGTTGCGGAGGTGGCGCAAAGGGTTGTTGGGGCGCAGACTGCTGCTGCTGCACTTGAATACCAAATGCAGCGTCTACCTGGGCTTGTTGAGCAAATTGGTTCTGGGCTGGAGGCATCTGTATTTGCTGTCCATTAGCGGGCTGATTGCCAAACATGTGAGTCTGCTCCGACTCAATTGACTCAAAGAAATCAATGAGATCTGGGGCAACAGGTTTCGGTTGGGCTTGCTCGGGCGCTGGGTTAGCAGGAGTGGGGCTTGGGAAGCGTTGCGCTGCCGATGTTTTGGATTGTTGTCCAGGTGGTGGTGATTTTGGCTTCGCAGCAGGTACAGGTTTCCCGCTCTTCTTGGCTTCTTGCTGAGCGAGATACTGCCGTCTATTGACATCGAAATCTGGATCATGAAGATATTCTTCCAACGAGGATGTGAGGCTGGTTGGTGCATGCTTCAAGTTGGGGATCTGGAGGCGGGTCGCCGTTTCTACCCCTCTGGCTTGTTGCAGATATTCGACAACGTCAGCTGTTTGTTTTGTGAATGTCTTGTAAATCTCTAAGGCCCTTTCGGCGTCATAACGCGACATTTCGAAATAATGTTCTAGCAGCATATTAGTTAAGAAGATGTCTAAGGGAGATTTGAAAGGAAAGCGCACCAAGAACATTGATGACGCCTTCATTCACGACATGGAACAGAACCAAAAGATCCATAACCAACAATCGGAAGGCTAGAAGGGAAATTTCATTATCGACATCATCATCAAGAAACTGTACAGGATCGCCTTGTCAGCCCACCAAACACCACCGGGAGGAACAGGTGACTCAGCAAAAAATACAGCATAGAGAGGTAATAATCCTACCGTACACTTCAATAGTGCCCTAATTTGAGTTTGGACACACTCGACCTCTCTCAAAAGCCCTTTCTCAATGCTCAACTTCCTAAGTCTTCCTTCGCCACTGCGAACATAGTCCGTCCTCACATCCCCATAAGTTCTAGCTCTCTCCAACAAGTACTGTGAGTAGTGACGGATGTTTCTCCCTTGTTCCTGGGCTACAACGCGCAAAATAGTTAGGATCTCCGGTATCCAATACTGCAAGACTGTAGATCGATTGGGGCATATTCTCACCATCCGAGTAATGACTGACGGTTATTAATCGGGGGTGCTTGCGAAGATAGCGGAGGGTTACTTCTCGTTCCCCTTCACGCATCATCAGATGAACGATGATGAGCGACTTGAAAACAATCTATGTAGAGAGCGAGTTAGCATGAGGATGCCATCTGGTGGGCACGAGAGACTGACCGTCCATGTTTGGTCCTTAACTCTGTTATTTAGCGCCCGAAAGACTTCAGCAATTCCGGCTTCTCCAGCATGAGTCGCGATAAGGATGTGTTCAACATATTTCGATTTTGGAGCCGCAAGCTTGACTTTGGTGGCACCCTATTAACTTCAGTCAGAAGCAGTCCTGCATTACTCCAATCCTCCCGCCGTCCATCTCGACCTGATTCCACCAACACTCCCCCTCAAGCCGCCAGTAAATCAAACAACGCCAGACACGGAGCTTAACACATGCCTTCACCGATTTTTCAAAAGAAGCCGCCATGGAGCCGCTTCCGTTAGCCTCGACGTCCTTACGTCGACGTCCCAAGAAATTTATCCTCCCCACTTTGATACCGTCGAGCGGGAGACTCGCAACGAAGCGGAGACTTCTTGCCGGAGGTTCCACCTGTTCTCTTTGAAAGTATTGCTACCCGTTTTTCCTCCCCTTTGGTTTTTTTCCAGAAGGTTGATGTACCCCTATTATCAAAATCACCTGGTTGTTTTTATTTTTTTTGCCCTTCCGGACGATCGGACGGAGTGGCTGTGTTTCAGGTGAGGCGTAAACCCGGGAAGGTTCCGGAGAGCTCACCCAGTGGAGCAGGGAGGAGAAAGGACGGAGGAACCGGAAGAAGCTAGCGGTGATCTACCAATGGTGGATGATGGATTCAATCGCACAGATAACGAGTACGTGTAATAGAACTTGATCCCTCCGTTGTTACTGTTCCCGTCTCTTTTGGACAGTTAGTTGGGAGCAGACTGATGCGGCAGATTCCAGTTCGCGGAAAAACCGACTCTCCTAAGGCTCTTTTGACAGGCTTGACGGTAGCAGAGGAAAACTCTTCTTCTCTGGCGATGCCACACTGCCGATGGATTTTCGTGCCTTCGATGGGGTATGAACTTGCTCGGATATGCGTGAGGGTTGGGTTGGGGTTGGGGGAGTGTATGCGTAGGTATTGGAGGATTACTACGGAAGGGGGGAAAGGCCCTTATTTTTTTTCCGCCGCGGGAGGGACCTTTGACTCGATGAACTTTACCCTTATCCCCTTCTCGTCTCAGCTAAAGGGTAGCAGATAACATATGCGAAGGCTGCGAGACTGGGGCAGCGGGATCAATTAAAATGTTGAGAGATTGATAGGAGAAGGTACAGGAGTAAAGTGAATATAGGATTTAGGGCGAGAAAGAAAGCGGAGGGGAGCGAAGTCCAGATGGGGATGAAGGGCCCGCCACCGGTTGGGGAGGTGGTGATGATGGGATTTCGAGGCGTTTACCGCTTGCGATGATTTGATCCGATTGATTGATTGATTGGAGATTCATGGACAGATTCCGAGTCGTCCACCCTCCTCAAGTTGGTTGCAGCTTGCGCTGTTGTCAATTGTGGCTAGTGAGTGGAGAGTGAGGGGAACACATACAGATACGGGATGGAGGCAGGAGCAATGATGATGTGGCTGTGCACATCTCTGCTGACAATTCTTGACATGAGCTTTACCGCCCCGATTGGGGAGAGTCAGTCCATCCAAGAGATGACAGAGAAGACAATAGACCAGCGAATTGACGCGAGTCACTGTAGAGAATATCTAACTTATGTCCAGATAAAAGTAAACAAAAAAGAAAGTGTCTCGCACAAGATGAACTGACTTTTTTTTTTCTTTTCAAGAAAAAAAAAAAACGAATATTACTGGAGAGTCCGAGACAAAAAGTATATCTTCCATCTCATCTCTCCTTAAATTCTGTGCGAGTGCAGGTTTTTTCTCTCGCAATCGATATACTGAGCCAAAGGATTTCTCGCCTAGGACTCCACCTGTTCTGCGAGAATAAGATCCCAACTGTCCAAATGAGGGTGTAAGGAGAGCATTCACGCTTATGGAGGCATAATGGGCATATAATAATATAAGAAAGGAAATTGATAATCTAATTTTGCCTCCTCCGTTGCTCTCGCTGATTTAAGATATCGGTGGGTATCCGAAATATTTGAACAAGAAAAACCAAGGTTTTATCCTTCCATGTTTCAAGATCAGAGATGCCTTCAGCGCCCGACTGTTTAACAAGGTAAGGTGTGCTCGAACGCCTATATCATGGTTTCCCCGTGGTGATCCCAATCAGCCCTTGAGCCAGCCTGCGAGAGTAGGCGGAGAGCGCAATTGGAACAAACCAGGAGTAACCGATCATAGACCGCACGCTAAGCTTTCATCATCTACAAGTGCAGCGATTATTAGCAGTTGATCGCATCCGTGGAATGGTGGAAGTTTGCACTCACTTGATAAAACTTGGAAGGATGGGGTGCAAGCATGGCTCCCGAGGGATCCCTTTTATACCCCTTGATTTTGCAGAGCTTAGTCACCCACGGCAAGGAAACCCTTATAATTAGGTGCCAAAGGTGCCAAGGTGGCGCGGTTTTCCTCCAATTAATCCTGCAAATTTCTTCCAACCTTCCACCGACCCCACCATATCCAATTGTCACTTACCAAGATGTCGCCGCAAGTTTCTCTTTCACGGATATGCCTTCAGTGCCGAATGCGCGTATTTGCGAGCAGTTTTCGTTTGATGTCATGTCCCCGCTACATCCGGACGAGTTTGCGAGATTCCTCATGGGATCTGTGGCTTGAAAAGTCTGTGGTAAGATACAGAAACTTTTCAACTGGAATAACGACCCCCGAGAACAATAAAGAAGATCCACTCCAAAAAGAGACTGCGTCATCTGGGTCCAGATCTCCCACCCCAGAGAGTGTTGGCCCATCGGGAGTTGTCATTGCGTCGGAATCTACTACTTCGTGCGAAGTTGCCTCTAAACAAACTTCTTCCGCATCCGAAATTTCCTCCCAGGAAGCCGCTCCTACCTTGGGGACTACTCCTGCGCCGGAAACCGCTCCTTCGTCGGAACTTGCCTCTACAGAACATTCCTCTGTGTGGGCAACTGCCTCAACCCCAGTGGCTACTTTCCCTCCGGAATCTCCGCCGTTGGATAAGACACGATTAGTTGAGTTATCGCCGAGTGAAATTCCATCGGATGGAATACCTTCCACAATTTCAAACGCTAGCGATTTCCTAGCTAGCCGGCGTTTCCTAGACGAAGATGCGGACAAGGGGTCCCACCCACGGCCTCCGATTGATACTAAGGCGAGGGAGAGAGCAGTCCTAAAAAACTATCGAGTTTTGTTGAGAGATACTAAAGCTGAGGTCGATCTTGACGAAGTCATGAAAGTAGCAACCACTGAACCTCCACCGCCGGGGCGTGATGAAAACTCCGAAAGGATAAAACCGCCTAAACCATCCGAGCTCGTCCCACCCCATCTCCTAGATTCAGGAATGAAGTGTGACTTTCCCCCTCCCTTTGGTACCAAAGGAACATAAAACTTACAGTTTATAACAGTTGAATTTCCTGCAGCCACTCACCGGGTAGCAGATATAGGTAAAGAACTCATAGATAAACAGGTCGTGCTCCATGGATACTTCGGCGCTGTGCGGAAGACTGCGAAATCTCTCTATTTTTCTTCCTTCCACGACCATTACTCTGACCCCGCACGTCCACTAAAGGTGGTTTCTTGCATTGATTCTCTATCGCCCCAAATTACCAAAACAGCCCATCAAGTACTTGGGTCCCTCCATCGGCTTACGCCTGTAGCTCTCCGAGCATCAGTTTACAAGTGCGCGCCTTCAAAGTCCCCAGAAAAAAGGAAATCTGATGAGGAAGTTGAGCTCCGGGTCAAAGAAATTTTCCCGCTCAATTCGGTGTCGGAAAGTTTGATTTATACTCCAGAGACAATTTTTCCGCCAGAGAAACGTCACCTACAACTCAGGACTGCCAAGGAACTTTCTGCGGCCTTGCGCCTTCGCTCGCGTACAGCGTCTGAGTGCCGCAAGTTTCTTGAAGAGAATGATTTTCTTGAAGTTGAGACTCCGTTGTTGTTTAAATCTACTCCCGAAGGAGCCCGAGAATTCCTTGTACCAACTCGGAAGGGAAACGGCACATGCTACGCTTTACCACAGTCACCCCAACAATACAAGCAAATTTTGATGGCTAGCGGTGTTCCTCGTTACTACCAGCTTGCTAAATGTTTCAGAGACGAAGATTCGAGAGCGGACCGACAACCAGAATTCACCCAACTTGATATGGAAATGTCATTTGCCACATCAAACGATGTGATGGATTCGGTTGAACAACTGATCATAAGGATATGGAATAATGTCTTAGGCGTTCGTATAGATCCTGGATTCAGACGAGCACCATATTGGTGGACAATGAAGAATTACGGCACAGATAAACCTGACATGAGATATGCAAATCATAGAGTAATCTCGATATTCTCTATCCTCCTTTATTCTACTAACCAAGATATAGATTAAAAGCCTCCATGGGGCTCTCCCACATCTATCTAAGGCGGGCAGATATATAGAAGGGTTTATATTCTACGGAAACACACCCAACTATAACACGGACCAAGCTACAGAGCTTCTGGAAGAGTTCAAGAAAGAAAATCCGAGTGTGAGCGACGATAATTACGTGGCCTATATCGCCGGCTTAGGGAAGGAAACTCAAGCTTATATCGAAGGCGGGATGGAGCTGTGGCACGAGGCTGATTTAGCTAATATCCACGGGGCGCTCTGGGTACACCGACCTGGTGCAATAGTTGTGATTAAGGAGCGTCGTGGCTACTACTCTGTAACCCCCCTTCCCCCCCCGCTCTCTGTACAAACCAGAGCTGACTACGCTAGGGTGGGAATACTAAACTCGGTCTTCTGAGAACCGCACTTCTAAACAAAGCCGTTGAAAAACGGCTCCTCCAGGGTCGAATCGACCACGCATTTGTCTGGGTCGTCGACTTCCCCCTCTTCTCTCCGACCAGCACCGGCGATCCCAGTCAGCCCGGAAGAGCCCCCTTCTCATCAACCCACCATCCCTTCACGGCCCCTATCGCAGAAGACATCCAACTCCTGAGATCATCGCCGTACCGTGTCCGCGCCGAGCATTACGACCTAGTCGTCAACGGAATAGAACTCGGCGGAGGCAGCAGGCGTATTCACGAGGCAGCGCTGCAGAAATACATACTTGAGAAAGTGCTCAGGATGCCCCAGGATGAGCTGCAGCAATTCGACCACTTATTGGAGGTCCTCGACAGTGGATGTCCCCCGCACGCGGGTATCGCCCTGGGTTTCGATAGGCTGATTGCTGTGATGACGGGCCGCGATAGCATTCGGGATGTCATTGCCTTCCCGAAGAACGCTAAGGGCGCCGACGTGATGGTTGGGTCACCAAGCGCGGTTCTGGATAGGGAGCTGCGGGCATATGGGCTTCAGAGGATTTGAACCCCTTGGACCGCAGGGAAGAGAGGGAGGTGGTACTAGCTGCCTGTATATACATCATCACGTGCTTTTATATTATAATTAAGGTGGGGGAGGCTTGTTGATTTCACCCACAGATGGAGGGCCTATTTCGTTATCACAGAATATCACTCGATGTCATTTACATCTCTGGTCTGCGAGTTTTGTAACATGGTAGGGGACAACGGATAGGGGGGTAGCGAAAGGTGAACCAAATTTGGCGCTTGCCACTAGATATTTGGTCTATTGTTTGCTATCCCCTCAGTTGTTTGTCCCCCCTACTCCGTTATGTCTTAGGCTCCCATCAGGTTACCGGGGGCGGGATCATTGTGCACACTCTTCTAGTCACTTGGTTTAGTCTACCGGCAGGAATCCCTATAAGTCATGCCCCGAAAACCCGAACTTCCCGTCCACCTCCACGACAAGATCACACCCCAACCGCCTATCCCGCGAAAGCATGCACTACCATACCCCAATAACACGAACTATGATGTGAAAATACCTCCCCCACCGACGGGCCCCAGTCCCTCCAACCCCCCCCCCCCCTCGCCGGGCCTATCAATATAACAGCTAGCGATGGTTCCCACTCTTGTCCCCATTTCACATAGCGAGCACAGTGCTGTTAGCGGTTGCGGTATACATAAAGGATTGGATGAGTTTGTGATGGCGCAGAGTATAGTATCATAATCTGACGGGGACCGCATAAAACGGCCTGCAGTTGGCCAACTCCCGTATGGGTAAATGGACTCTCGCACACGATGGGGGTTGTTACTGCGGGTGTATATGTACCTAAAGCGCCGGGGTTGTTCTGCCATATTATGAAATACCATGCTATATCATAAAATACTGTATCATATGAAAATCCATATCGTATGACACGGTAAGTATCATTAGCGTACCCCCCCCCTCTGCCGCTCATGCGCGCGCGCTATGCCAGACATCGGAGGGGCTGCTGATAACATCGGCTGGAATAATAGCTGTTCACCCCCAGCTATTTACCAGAGGGGCCGGTTACATGACGGTCCACTTCCTTTCCAACCCGGTAACCTGGATCCGTTGAAGTACTGTACTGGTACAGTGTCATATCATACTCGTGCAACCCACAATCGCATATCATCATAATATTGTCGCCTCTCTACCACTGCAAACAGAATCCAATTTGGCGCCCTCTCAATCACCCACACTAAACAATTACCCAAGAACATGAAAACTAACTTACTTTCAAATGCCTGCTTTATCGAATTTTTAGGAAGAAGATGCGTCATCATCATCTGGACAGAATATCTAGCCCTCCTTGTTCACCACCACCAAGTACTCATTTCTTAATCTCAAAAGTTAGAAAAATAAGATATATACAAACAATCTCCCAACCTTTGCGTTATGAGATAAGAAAAACATGGGTATCATTCATATCATAGCTCCGAAGAAACGAGGACACGGTTTAGAGAGAAAAAGGGGGAGAGAAGAAATTGGTGGGGGAGAAATGGTAAACGGGAAGAAATAAAGCATAGTAGACATCGCTTTGTACGAGAAAGCAGATTAAATTATGCAAGAAATAGTGTGCCATCTGCCCTTTTACATCCCCCATCTCCAGAGCATGAAATGCCGAATGAATAATAAATAAACCGAGCCAACAAAGCCCATCTATGCCTACTGTCAAAAAAAAACCGAGGAAGAAAAATGCAAACACAACCCCCCTCATAGTCGCGCTAGGAAGTTCCAACTCCAACGCCGAAAGTCCCTTGATTCGACTGTGCTTCGGAGGGCTTTGTCCCAGCCCCGGTCGATACTGATCCTCCCATGCTTCTTCCTCTTTCTCGCATTCGCCTTCCCTCCATTAGACCCCTTAGACCTCGTTTTTGCAGACCGATCACGCTGCTAACCCCACCCCTCCATTCGTCTCCTGCACCAAGATTCTCCACTGACTCACGCTTCCCACCGTTGCCACCGCCGGCGGCCATGGCTGCAGCATTGAAGACTGCCGCGGCGTTCCTACCGTCGAGGACCTGGTGGAGGCGCTCAACCACAGCTTCTAAAAGGCCTTCTACCTGGTACGGTCGGGCTATCTGTAGGAGGGAGCAAAGAATTTGTGGCGATGATTGAGGGTGGCTTGGTGGAGGAAGGGCAGATGTATAGAGGTAGTGAACAAGGGTAACTAATGTCTGGAGGGTGTGCGGGAGATATAAAGTTCGTGGGCGATCCAGGGGGTTGAATTGCGCGGTTGTGGGGGGTTGTACCCCAGGTCCCTGGGCCGCTATTGGAGCAGCTGAATTGAGGTTCCTACCGGTTGGTGAAGGAAGCTCTTTATTTGATGCATTCAGAAGCCCAAGAAAGTATGGTCCCCAGCGGCGAGCCACAATTCGGGAATTGACAGGCACGCGCTCACCGCCGACAGCGAGAAATTCCATGTCAGCCATTTCTTTCATGCCGAGTACCATCCTACCGAGTTCCTGTGCCGCAACAGAGCAAGAGCGTTGCAGGGCTGGGTGAGAATTCATTCTTGGGTTCTCATAGAGGCCAAATGCTTCCAACTCAACCATGCATAGATAAGAGAAATTAATCCGGCGATGATTATAATCCTCCACCAGAGACCGGTTCTTATTCCCCAATATCAAAAAAGCATTGCGTTTGCTCCATAGAATTCCCCTGTTCCATGATCCCTGGGAAAATGCTTGGCCGGCATCAATACGTGACCAGATAAGTGTTCGGAGATCCAAGGCCCAAAGAGCATACTCCTGTTTGCTGCTCGTTAGGTATGTGCCACTGACGACAAAGTGGTTATCCAGAACCCCGCCATTGGGAAACCGAAGACCGGGCGGTGAGAATTGCCCGTTCATGGGCCTCTCGGTAAGGGAGCCATCCAGTAGGCGAATCTGTAACTCAAGCTTAACGTCCAGGAAGTTATAATTTGAGTAGATCAGCATAGCATTGGCTTCGCTCGGCGAAGTCCGGGAAGTGGATTGGCCATTCACGGCAGAGAGGGACGGATTTTCTTCTGGACCCATGTACGGACTACTACGCCCCGCTCCGATAGATGATGCAGTCAATCCCCGACCCAACGGTGCAACAACTGATCTATATGCCCCGCAAGACCTATCCAGCGGTGTCGTTGATGTCCATTTCAGGGATCGAAGGTTGAAAACGTTGATCTCCTCGATATAATGGTTCGCAGAATCTTGGCCGCCCACAATTACCATTTCCGCGCCTCCGAGGCCTTCAAGCCCAAGGCCCCCAACAACAGGCGCGGCTACGCTGTTTGTGGATGTGAAAGTTGCACTTGTTGGGAGTATGGTCGCACAATGGGCATATCGCCCCTCAGGTGGGCTCGATGTAGGTATGAAGGTCCATGTTTGGGAAGGAATATCGTAGATGTGCATATCCGACATGACCATAACATCGTTTTGTGAGTCCCCTCCGGGCGAAGTAGCGGTATTCCCATTCGTATTGCTGGTTCCGTTGGCTTGCAGAGGACTGGTGGCTGTGGGCGACATACCACCAAAACAGACTAGCTTCGTGCCCCCTAACGCACAGACACTGTGAAAATATCTCGGCGGTGGAATATCTCCTCTTGTTTCCAGTTTTGACCATGATCGAGTGATCAAATCGAGCGCATACATATCGCATGTTAGCTGAGGCTTCGTTCGTGAAAGCAGCCGACCGCCAAATGCGTAGAGGGTATCGCCGATGATTGTTGTCGATGAGCCTACCAGCGGCGGCGGCTCCCGTCCAGATGTTTTGAGGACTGTCGCCACCAGCGAAGAGATGTTTTGGGACACCTGCGGCTGGGTTGTGGTGGGAGTCGAGGATCGAGGAGTATTGCTGTTACTGCTCGAGGAGTTTTGCGGTGGGGCTGTTGATGAGGAAGTAGAAGCGGTCATCGTCGGGGGTAAGTGTATGGAGGGCGAGGGGTTGTTAGAGGACGACATTGCAGAGGTAGCGGTCAGTCCGTTCGTTTCTGGGCAAGAAGGGTAGACAGTCAGAGTAAGGGAGATTCTAATGTGAGTTGCAATGTGCGAACGTTTTAGGAGGGGACGGGGGGTTGTAAGGGTAGAGGCAACAAGGCGGCGGGTCTGAAGCGTGAAGGGGGTAAGGAAGTGCGTGGGGAAGCACACAAGCAGGAGAAGAAGCAGCCCCGAGACAAAACCAGGAGGCCGATGCACGGTATTCGTAAGGTAATATGCAAGTGGAGAGGAGTGGGGATCTTCTTCCTCTATTACTTTCTTTTATATTTTTTCGATCCCCCTACCGGTACCGTAGTCTGACGTCCGTCACACAGTCAGGGCAGGTGCTTAGCTATTATACCTATTAACGCTCCAATAAGAACTCGCGACCCAAGAAGAGCTGCAGAGAAGGAAGGAGAGAAATCATCTCATTCACCCCAGAGCCCACCAACGGGAGAGTTAATGGGGAGGGAACAGAGAAGAGGCCGGCAGGTATTCTTGGCCCTGTAAAAAGGCCCATACCAGTAATCTATATGACAGCCCCTTTTATGAGGGTATGAGACTTGCACTAGCGACGTTACCTACTGTCGGTAAGTAAAGTAAGCATCTGCAATTCTAGCGATGGAGGGTGGTATTAACCTACCATATTCCATCTCTCTCCCCCTCCCCTTCCCATATCCCACATCCCCCTTCCCCCCCCTCCTTCACTTTTCTCTTCCCAGCGGTTTGTTACGATGTTCTGTCCGGACCTGGCTCGGTAAGCAAAATAAGGGCTAACAATGCTATCCAGCCGCAGTAACTCACAGTTCCTCGCTGTCCCTCACAAGATTATGCGCCGAAATAGACGGGGACAGTCTGGGTGATGGATCTCAAGAGAAAACATGTTCCTCCGCGTATCTACAAATACAGCACAGCACGGTATAGGACAGCACTCGTGCGGTGTAAGAATCTCTCGAGGGTGAGCGGGTAAACATGCTCACAGCAAACTTTTCAATTGGCCGCTGGTCCTGGTCGAGAGGCTCTGATGGGTTAAGCTAATACTGGGTTAAAAATCCCATCTCTCCGCCCAAATTCCGTTCTGGCTGTTGGGGGACACCCCCCCAAATCTCCTGCCACCCCCCCCCCATCCTTTACCTCCCACCCGTACTGGGCTGATAGTCTACCGGCATAGTATGATGCTCCCCACTCTTCTCATCCCCCCCAAAAGCCACACTTCCCCGTCTCACTTCCTCTCTCCTCTCTCCTCTCTTTGCCCGTCGGCTTCTTCCCGGTCGTTAACCCCTCTGCACAATGCTCCACCCCGAATTTGCCCCTACCCCACATCCCCCCTCACATATTCACTCAACCGTTATGATATCATTCTTGCTCTGCAGCACAGTAGACTTCTTTCTCTTCCTCTTCTTCCTCTTCCGCCTCTCTTTCTTCAAAGGCTCAATGGGCAGTTACCATACATAGCATACTGTTGCAGGCCCAGCAGAGCAGGGTACTTGAGCACCCCTTGCACCAGCATCCTTTGTAAGGTGCCGAAGACCTGGCGAATCAGGTCAAACAGGTAGGCACACTGGGTAGAAACCTGGGGACGCATTTTGTCTGCGGAAGAATGGATGGTCGCCACCAAATATCACATCTCTCACCACAGCCCGTTACATTTTCCAAAACCCTGCTCATCGGATGCCCTTCTTCCCTTTCTTTTTCTTTTCGGTGGAGCTCTTACCGTACGATTCTGAGTGCGCAATTCCCTTCCACTAGCATCGCCGTGCTGGTCAGCCTATACCGGCAAACCCCGAAGCCTCGGGCTGGGTGCAAGAACGGGTTAGAGTTCTTGAACGTCCTTCCTATTCAATGCCTTTTGGACATGGTTGGAGCCGTTTCTCCGTCAAGTTAGCCAGGCCACCCCAGCCCCTCGGCCACTTTCGAGTGCGGGGTACGTCTAGAGCCTCTCAACTTATGATACCCGCGATATATTACCACAAGAATTCCATTGTTCCGGTCCTGTGCTCGAGTATATTTTAGGGATTTTCCGACCATTTATTATCACAGTACATACCGGTAACATACCCTGTGTCACCCCCGTAGCTTTTCACAATACTCGAATAGCGGCATCCAGCCCGATCCCTGGGCCGGCACGTGTTTATCTAGTCTCCATCATGTAGAACCCTTCATCCTCACCTTCACCCTCACTCCCGGGCTCTCGTACCGCACTTGTAAGGATGACAAGTTAACACAACCCTATCTCTTTTTATCTTTCTTCCGCCATATCTATCGCATCCTACCCATCGGACCACATACGGTGCCTTCGCCGCCAACGCTTATCAGCAGATCCATTGGGGCGGGGCACCTCTTTAACCTGAACCTCCCCAGGGGTCTGCTTTGGCCCGTTCAAGGCCCAGGTCACGACGGTATCATGGATCCTAACGTCCATAAGTACCGGTATGCACATCAGCCTCAATATTAAGTCGAGATGGCCAAACCCCCTCAAAAACGCCCAGTTCGCCCACCCAAATACCCGTAAAACTCGAGATGTTTTGCAAAACGGGCTGCTATTGCATACCGCCGAAATCCTGAGGCTCTGGCCGGCATTCGGCTGTATGCAATGGCAGCCCGTTTTAGGAACGTCACGACATCACGAGCGGTTAGGTTCCGTCGGATGGTACTCAAGTGCCGTGTCAGCGTAATGTGGTGCCGGTGTACAGTGCTGCACAGTACTGCTCGTACTAGTACAGTACTACTGAATGTGTGGATGGACTCACGGGGCGGCACTGTACTGTACGTTGACATTCGCAATCATGTCGCTTGGTTTCCTTGTATTTAAAAGGGGTTCATTTGGATCAGACTGGAGAGAGGTGACAAAAGACGATGATCAATGACGGGGAAGAACACTGGGGACAGCCTTTTTCTTTTGACATGAATTCCCCACCCTCTTTTCCTTTCCGCTATCATCTCTGAGGACAGAGAGGCGAGGCGAGGATTCATCGAAGAACCAGGTTATCTGTCTCCATTTTGTGGTTCCCTCCCCTCCCCTAAAAACACCACTATCACTAAGTACCTCCACCTTCTTTCCTTAGACTTGTTTAAGCCTCCAGAGTACCGGAGGTGGCACAGAAGAATTACTGTTGCCAAAATCCGCAAAAGAACGCCAGGGCCGGAGGGGGGTCAGGCAGTACTGTACGAGTACGAGTACTCGAGTACCGGTAGTGCGTTGGGTTGGGTCTGATATTAATATACCGGCACTTTACACTTTATCTCCTAGTTCACTGAGACGGGGGGGAAGCTCTGGGTACCCTCCCCCCCCTGTTGGTGTCTGAGGCGGAGATGGTTGAGATACGATTATACAGTACCACCTCGGTATTCTTCAGCGATGGTGAAGGTGTGTACGACCATGGCCATGGTCCGAAGTCTGTACGGTATGATACTCGTACAAGCACTGTGCATCTGCAGAGCCGCGGTAATTAACGAGGGCTGCTTGTTAACTCACCTCTCGGACACCGGTAGTTGCGCGGCTCCGGAAGGCTTAGTTTAAATCCAACAAACTGGGAAGGGTGCCGAGAAGCGTGGTTTGTGTTTTCCATGCTTAGGCTGGCCAGTATCAACAAATCTATTCAAGAGCTCCTTTACTGTACTCGTACTTCTCTTATGGTTCTCCCGTCTAATCACATGACTCGCCTTGCGTACACTTGCTCTCATTTTTTCTTCTCTCCTTCACACACCACATCCCCGCTCTGCACAACGTCGTGCCATATAACCCTTCTGGAATGCCCACCAGCAAGCCTAAAGTGGACCATGGCTTACACCCATCGGACGCTGGAAATCAAGGACACTATTGACGCAGAAAACAGGGGGGGCCGAGGGGTTATGTAGGAAGGCCCCTTCCGCATGGCATGACAATGCATAACGAAACTAAGCCCCCCCCCCCCCAAGTTCCATTTGTCTAGCCGACACTGCAGTTACTCCCGCGGTGAATCGTGATCGGTGGTTGCGGGATCACAAATCTAATACGCCCAAGCGAAAATAGTGCATCATGCAAACTCCAAATTGTTGGTCAAAAGAGGAGTGTTGGCAATGCTGGATGTTATGGCACTCCGAGTGAGAATTGATGAGAGTCATGATAATACATTCTTACGGGAGTATAGTCTTGGGCTCGGGGGGCCTTCGCTGAGTCGTCATCCCGTTTTCCAGACCGATTGGTTTAAAGTGGGTGTATCATGATTTAAACTACTTTCATAAGAACTTGTTTTGATAACGTTTGGTTCCAGGGAAAGACGGGGAAGTGACAATACTCAACCGCCGATCAATATTTCCGATATGTCCCTGGAGCACCCTCACTCCACCCAGTATTTTGGCACTACTTAATGGGAATCCTGCCTTCCGAGTCCACCGTGGCCCCTCCGGAGCTCAGTGAAACCAAAATGGATTAGTCGACGATCTTAGGGGTTGACCAGAATTCCTCCCCGTCGATGGGAAACTCGTCGGTTGGGTAAAGCAGTACAAAGCTCTTGACACCAACAAACAGACTGTTCGGCTTCTCCTGAGGCTAATCAACCGTATGTTCGGTTTCGTCATTTTGCCAAATATTCCTGTTAGTAGCCGTGGGCAGCATAGCCAGAGCGCTCCAGGAGGAGGCTTGCCTTCAGAATCCTTCCACCTCAAATTTTCTGCCAGGCATGTTTCCATCTCCCCTTTATGGTCCAAGATAGAGCCAGCGCCGTCCAACTTATTATAGAGGGCGTTGGTTATATCTACACCTCCAGAGAACAACTGGTCCGCTTCTTCCTGTCCGGCACAATTCCCACAAATATCCACCGTGCGTTTGAACGTGTTGACTACCCACGCGGTCCTCGTTCGGGGGCCATTAGCGCGGGTCATCTCCGAGCTCGCCCAGGAAAAGGATGACGTACTTCCTGACACGCAAGAAGATCAACCATTCTCGATGGAGCTCCCCGTGCTCCATTTCCTATGCATACCGTAGTTAGGTTGTGCGGGGTGAAATCCGAACGTGGGTGGATAACATACGAACGGCACGGCTAGGAGAGAGGAGGGCCAGTGGGATTTTGGGGACGTCGACCAATGATTCGTCCGTGAAAGGAAGCCCATATAGTTTGTGGACGTGCCTGAGGACATAGGATGCCATTTCCATTTGCTTTCCGGGGCCAGACAGCTCGACTGGGATTTTCGGGTAATGGTAATTATGGTCGAAGACACTGACAATGTCAACTCTTGGGATTACTCTTAGGGAGCGGCTGCGCAAATTCGTGGGACTTGTGTTGGCCCGGCTGCTGCGCTAGGCTTTTGAATCATGCTGCTCACCCCAGGGGCAGCAGCGCGACGCCCGTCCTTATAAAAGGGAAGATGAGTGGTGGAGGCATTATGGATAGCTTTGGTGGGAGGCATACGGACACAACCTGTGGCCTAGGCCTCAAATGGCACCTCACAGCGAATCGATTGCCAAAGCACGTACGAGTACATACAATTAATGCTGTAGTGGCTATTGCAAGTTAGCTTCTTATGTCATGGATGAAGCTGGCTGGTATGAACTTACTGCAGCCTGTTTGAGATGAGGCGTTAGTGGCGGATCAACGCTTTCGTCTCTACAATACAGTACCGGTACTACGCTATCTGGCTAGGGGCTTACTACAAAATGGGATCAAAGGCGGATGTGGCCACTTTTGTCACACGACCCTTCTCGTAACCCTCGACCGTGTAGTTCGTCCCAGTGGGGCCTGAGATCACGCGGAGTGAGTGTCTCCTTTATCCACCAAATCGCACAGACCAAACCCACCCTGAAATATATTACGATCCAACGAAAGGTCATCGGGGCCAAGACGACAAGGCATCCAACAGGTGTTGGTGAAAGGCCCATATGATTCGACCAACGTCAATAGCTTGTACAGTACATAGGATCACGGAAACTGGAGCCACTAGTACGAGTACAATTAGGATCAATCTGAAATAATTAGAGAGCCAAACCTACTCGTTAGGGATACGCGGATTATTTTCTATTGGGGTTCTAAGCTGTAGATCCACGATTCCGGGGCGACTGGTCCTTTTATCGTATCATGTGGGCATCTCGTCGTCTCTTCCCACTCAACCATTTTCCTCAAATTGGTCGCCGACAACCGTTATCAACAAACAAGACATACCTCCCGAACACCGATGATAGAAAAGCCTCGCTGTCTCCGAATGCCTGTCTCAAATTTATACGGACACATAGGATTGGACACACCCTCCCGGATGACGAGCAGAGCATCAGATCCAACCTCCGGAAGTGTTGTATCTACCTCTGGGAACCTAATGCTCTACAGAGCCTCTGAGTCCGTTGCACGGTTCTAGTGCGTACCAACCACCGTTAGGCTGATGCTAGGCAACCCCAACAGAGGCACCTGTCTCCCCACCTCCTGATCATGTTTATCGGCTTTGGAGTTTCCAAGCAGGTCCAATTGTGCTTCTCGGACGTAGCGCAGGGGAGCTGTTCTGGACTAGGGAGCCCGGGTGAAGGAATCTACGGGAAACGGCTCAGACTCCCTCAATGGCGAATCCACGATACACTGAATCGAACTCTAGCAGTTGGTCCAAGCTATATAGGATTCCAACACCGAAATTAGCAAAAAAGGAAAAAGGCCCCTCCCTCAAGTAAGGGACCATCTCTGCTAGAGAGAGGAAACCATTACAAAAGGAGGAGAGCCCAAACAAGTTACAATCACATCCCTAACTATTCTACCATTCATGAATCCAAATAAAGAACTATTTATTACACTACGATAAGAATCTCTCTGATTTTCAGAGGGAGGAGAAAAAATAATAAAAAAACCTCGCTGCACTGATCTCCCTCACTCGCTCAACCTTGTTGTAGTGGTCCCTTTCGTATGATATTTCTTGCCCAACTTGGAATCACTCTATCCATACTTTTTCGCCGGAAATTCCGGTGCGCATTTTGAAAAGCACGAGCCACACACCTCGGAAGGTTTCCAGATTGATTTAGACTACCGGTTTTCAGTGATCTTATCGTCCCTGCTGGTGAAGATGTCGATGATCAATGTTGTCCTATCATACCCTTGTGCATGATAATTACTCTCTATCGTTCCCCGTCATCTACAATAATGCTTCTTTCTTTCCTTAATTCTGTTCCCCACATTTTATGCGGTAACTAATAAGCCTAGTATTATACAAGAATCACATTTACCCGAATAATAGATAAAACTCTTTCCACCAAAAAAGAATCTTGTTCCAGAGAGCTTTTGTATCCCAATCCCCTCATCCTCTCTTAGGTTTCTGCCCTTTTTACGATATGATACATAGTCGTTTACAAAGGTACAGTACAGTACTGTACCTTCGAGTGCGGCGTAGTATGAACAGAAAAAACGACAACTCCAGACCCCCCCCCCCCCCACTAGTACAGTATCAAGAATTCGTAAAACCTCGAACCCAGCCAAAGCGTAGTAGCAGTGGTGAACTGCCTCGCGCTCGATATTTAGGGATATCACTTTTTTTATATTTTTTTATATTTTTACCCATTTTCATTTCTCCTCCCACTTCCGCCCACCCACCCCGACTCCCGCTTCGGCCCCCAACCTTGCTATCACTTACTCGAGTACCCGTAAATGCCTGACCTTTTACTTGTACTTGTACTGTACTGTATAAAAGGGGACTGCCACTACATACAGTCAAAATGCGCCCAGAGCGCCAGAGTATTTTGGTCGCATGTGATAACAGTCCGCTTTTGCAAAAAAAAAAAAAAAAGTCGGGCCATTGAGGGTAAAGCTGAAGCACAGGTATGGTATATAAGACAATTACGAAGACGATATCACGATGATGCAAGTGCTGCTCCCCGAGTGGTTGGACCGGAACGGGAACCCTGTAAATTTATTATCCCCTGCAGTGTTGGCAGTCCCGAATCTCCCTACATCGCGCCAAAATCTAAACCAGTGTCAATCGGCTCCGGGCCATCCCGGATAGAGCAAGTGAGTGATATCAAAATGTCCTGGGATGAAGTTACAAACCTCTTTCCTCAAACCCAACGAAGTGGGCCTATCATAGAAACCTCCCTTGAGTTCATAAGTTCCAGAGAATTGGTGGCATCGTAGAGCTTGGTGGTTACCTGCCATTGACCGCGTATTCCGCTGTCCCCAGAGGTTCGTACAGTAGTATACCCTTAATCTGAGATCTCTATTCCCGGTGAGTAGAGTCCAATGATTCGTCGATATTATGTGCCAACCACATTCAGAGTCGCATCCCAGTATTGCTCATCTGTGAGGCTGATTCTTCCAATAAAGGAAATCTATTAGTGTGGCCGGCTCATCTTTCGCATCGTGCAGGGAAATTCGGCACAGTCAGCACTGCGGGTGATACTATTTGCACCGATCTCTCTCTCTCTTAGGTGCTCGATACACAAGTCCAGTCCCGATACAAGTTATTCATTACGGTGCCAGTTTTTTTTTTTTCCTATGATATGATATATCGTAATAGCGGAAACCCTCTGCCCGAGATGCTGCTGCTGGAAAGACCCAGCTAGGGTCTGTCACGAGTGACCATGTATGACGGGACTTGATCCCAGAGTCATTGAACACTGATGTGCCTAGAGCAGTCGAGGGATTCCTCACGCCTTCCCCGACGGGTATGATACTCTGCCTCTGTCCCCTGCAGTACCCAAGCGACTTCTCCTTATCCTTACTCCGCTCCAACAGCGGGTAGCATTGGCATCCACCCTCTAAGGGCGAACGATAAGACATACCGTCCATCCACTCCTTGGGAAAAAAGCCGCTAATAGGTCGCCATTACCCCCCTCACGCTCGGAGGGGATAGTTAAAACAGCCTCACCAGGAGCAATATTCGTCGGGCGCCGTGGAAGGACTTCGAGGGAGTCCGTCTGGTGTTTTTATATGGGCAGCTCAAGAGAGAACGTCGCACGCGCAATACACCGACGAGTTTCTATGATAAAGTCATCAAATTATTTTTCTCGTTCAACACAACCCCGTCATTGTGCCCGACTTTCAAGTCGGTCACCGCGAGTACAGTACAGTACCGATACCGGTACCGCTACAACGGGGTGTATATGAGAACTATTACGTATAAGAGCTGGGAAGATTCGCAAGAGTACGCAACTGCCTGTGTACTGTGCCTCTGATACCCGACACGCAGGTCTGCACCTTATGTTTTCTTTCTTTCTTTCTTTCCTTCAATCCTTAACAATTCTCATGAATATTTATCCGCTCGCTTCCTTCTATTGCTGTCTATTCTCTCTCTTTCCTTCACTGTCCTTCCCAGGTTCCATAAAACCTTTGTAGCAACCATTGACGTCGCCGTTCGATCGACTACAATTTCCAACAATAGCGACAGGAAAATGACACGAGTGATTTCTTGTGATAAGAAACCACCCTCCCCCTTTTTCCCTCCACCTCACCACTTATAGCAGTAGCATGGCCCAAGGCCAGGTCCTATCATGCCACCTCCTACAATGGCAAAACCAATTTCCCCTACAGCCCTATCAAGGGAGGAGGCCCGAGGTCTTCGGTCTCTTAGCTCTCATAATATCATACTCGCAGGACCATTTAATTCTCCCCCCTCCCACCCAAGGTGGCGGCTTGTCCAAAAATAACAGGTTGAGCGTAATTTACCTCCCAGGAACCCGCCAAATTGCACAGGGCTCTCGACGGCCTTGACCCGCTACCTTGTTTCGTGATATCACCAATTAATTAATTGACATGGCCATGAGTTGCTCGAATTACTCGCAACACGCGCGCTCTGGGGCGTTGAAGCCGCCTCTCCCGGCATGGTCCGGTGCGTACAGTACAGTATTACGACCCTCATCCAGAGGAGGAAATTTCGGACCATCACAAATTTATCATATATACCTACCGCAGTATCACCATACGGTACTCGAGTGCACGGTCCGTCTGTTCGGGTTCCTACAATACACTAAAGGCTCAAACTCCTTACGTAGCATCGGGGGTCGATGGGGGAAGATTGAAAATTTGAAACCCCTCCCCCCCTTCTGAATTATCGAAAGAACCCTGGACGTGATGATATATAGAGAGGAAGAGAAGTTAAGGACATCGGCTTGCCGGTTCCCAACGACTATGCGAAGAGGGAATAAACAAAGTCATAATATCAGCGATGAAAACAACGTGCCACCTCTGCTGCCGTGAGCAAGAGAGGTCCTAGAAGAGTTTACGAAGTACAGTATGATACAGTACAGATGGATGATACGCTATCGGTAGGGAGGCGCCGGGAAGGCATAAATGGACGGACGCACGGCAAGAGCGCCCCGACACAACAGCCCTAGCAAGGGCACCAAGTCACAGTCGCATCTGGCTATAACGAACGACAAAAACAGGACCCTCAGTGTTCACTAATAGCCAGGTGTTCACCATAGTAAATATGACTAAAGGAGTCTTGGCTGTGGGTGGTGGTTGTACGAGTAGAAGAGGTCCGGAGTAACTTAGGGAAAGGAACCATCACAACAGCCTGACCGCAACCTCAGCCACACAACCTACTTGAATACCTGCAAATCTACCTCTAATAGCTTATACCTCTGATCCACAGTGCATCATGATCGACAAACCCTGTAGAGAAATGAGAATTGGATATAGTTTATAAGATAAACTTAATCTGACTTGTATGAGTTTTTTTTCTTTCTTTTTCTTCTTATCTTCTTATCTTCTTAGCGTCTGCTTGGCTGAAACCATTCTATTCTGTTCACCTATATAAAATAACCAGAACTATAAGGCAATTTGTATGGGTGAACAGAACAAACTTGAAATAGTTATAGCCAAAACCAACTCTTATTCCTTACAACTAAAATTGTTTAAATGTATTGTGATTTTTACCATCCCTGTTCATTTGCCATCTTCTGTTCAGTACTCGTACACTATAGTGTTTGCTTTTTTTTTTTTTTTTTTTTACTTATAGTAACCAAAATGTTATGAGATCTGAATTTTCCTGTCCTTCCCATTCACTATAGCCAGGTATTCACTATGTCGAGGTTCACTACAGCCAGATACGACTGTACACCCGACCCACAACCCGGGCGCCACGAGGTCCACATTCGAGCCCCTAAATAGCCTCTGCCATAGGACTCACGACCCAGGCCCCCGAGAGTCCACACGAGTGACCGCCCGTGCAAACAACCGGGTAACGTCCCACTCCCAGACCGCCCACCCAACCCGTCAAACCAAACCTCTCACTACTCATAGTATCATATCATACTTCTAACAACCTCCCCCGCCTTCCCCAACCAACCGCTCACCAAACCACCCTCCTCCACCCGATGCTCCCAACCAACCCCGCCCAACTAAAACCAAAACTCCCCGCACAAAAACCCAACCACCACCACCAAAAACCCCCTCCCCCACCTCCCTACAAACACCGACCCTTCCCCCCGCCAGCGGCAGGGCCAGACCATATCCCAAAACCCCTAACCCCCTCCGACCTCCCGGAAAGGTACCGACCCGCGTACCGCAAAGTACGCACGGTAGTAGTGATGCTACCGATTGCGATTGTTACCAGCTATGTGCTTTATCAGAGGGGTTTGTTTCTTTGTCCCTTTCTGAGCTCATGATTTCCGGTTTTTTTTTTTAGGGAGAGATGCTAAGGTGCTAGTTGGGTAGTTGTGCTTGGAGAGGAGAGGAAGGTTTTGGTGAAGAAGGAGGATTGATGGCGTTGACGGTGTTGGTGGGCGCGGGTTTATTAGCCGTTTGACGGGATGGATGGATGGAATAGAATGGAGCATAGACTGGAGGAAGGGGGGGATTGGCATCACAACCTGAATGCGAAAATTCCTCGATTACGGCAAACTGCGCTACTCGGACAAGCACCACCATTAATCACGTCCAATCAACTCCCCTAAAGGCAACAGCAATCCCAGTTCCGGCCCCTTAGAACAGTACGAAAGCCCCACCAATTCCCATGCATTACCCAAACACTGTATTAAAACCAAGGGAAGGCTAAAAGCGAAAGACCTTAAACTTTTCAACGAAAACAGAACAGTGATAAAGAAAAAATATATAGAATGAACACGACCCCTGGACGAGAACAAAACCCCATAGCTAGTAACATACTCGCTCCCTTAAAACCCAGAAACCGCACATGTAAAGCCAGAGAAAAGGAGGTATTGCCACAGGATTATCACAAGCCAGACTCCCAGCCAAATGAGAAAGCAAGAAAATGAGGGAAAAATATGCGAAAACAAGCCAAAATCAAATGCCACCGTCCAATCATAGAGATCCTCATGTCCTTCGTACCATCATAGCATCATATAGGGGAGCAACAACGGAGATTTAAATAAATAAATAAAACAAGAGAGGAAAGAAACCCCCAATTCTAATGACCAAAAATTCGAAAAACCCCTTTTCGCTCAAGCTCAAGCAGGTGCCATAGACGTGTACTCCTCTTCCTCCTCCTCTTCCTCAACCCCGATGCCACTATCATACTTTCTCCTCTTGCTATCCCTCTTCTTCGCACTATGCGTCACGCTCAAGGGCCTCGGTATGGTCGACGCAGGCGTAGGCGGAGCATGAAGGAGCATGTCCGCGATATCATTATCCACCTCATCGTCCTGTTCCCGGAGCCTCTTACTCGCCTTCCTACCCTCGGCCTGACGCTTCGCACCCTCACGAATGTACTGCTGCTTGACCTCGCCAAACCGAACCATATATTTCTCCGCTTGGTGACTGAGCGCTTGAACAGCCTCAAGCCCGGACTGTCGCTCCGACTCGAGCATGTCTTGGTATCTGATCTGCTCTGCTTCGAGCTCCTCCACAGTTTCGGCAAGTTTGATCCTCTCGCTGCGGAGGATGCCGACGACAGCTTCGAGGTCGTTGATTCGGACTTCCCTGCCCTCGAGAATTGTTCGGAGGCCTTCGATGTCGTTCGTCAGTTCTGTGCGAGTCTGCTCCATCTCAATCCTTAGTTCAGCCAGTTCTTCCATCAATTTGTCCTTCTCGGCTTCCAAGGCCTCCTTTATCTTGGCCGCTTCCTCGTAGGAAAGTTGGAGTTGACTCTCACGGGACTTGATGCCCTCTTCGAGCGCCGCCTCTGATTCTTCGGCCTCGTCAAGCAACGCCTGGAGTTCCGAGATACGAGCCTCGTGCGATCCAATCGCCTGGTCACGTGCATGAATATCCGCTCGAGAACGCTCCTGCTCCAGAAGGGACTTTGACCTATGGGTTTCGAGCTCAAGCTTAAGATCCGAGAGACAGCCAAGGTCACGGGATTGCTGACGCTGAGACTCGTTCTTGATGTCACTAATTCTCTTCTCTAGGTTCGCGACGGCGCCCCGGCTGCTCAAGATCTCCGCCTCTAGTTGTCTGGAAGCATTATCGCGTTCTGCAGAAACCTTACTCAAGGCCAAATTCTGGCTGGCTATCTCGTCACGCGCAGACCTCAATTGGTCCCCAAGAGTAGCTATATCGCGCTCACTTGTCTCGAGCGCTTCACGAAGTTCCTCCGATAGTGAAGTAATCCTACCCTCATTCCTGGTAACTGTGTCATTAAGCTGGGCAACCTTGCCCTCATGATCTGCCTTCATCATACCGAGCCTTGCGTCTAAAGCTTCATACTGTGCTCTCCACCCAGCGACCTGCTCCTTGAGCTCCCGGATGATTTCACCAGCTTTTCTTGCCTCCTCTGCCGCAAGGTCCTCAGCCCTTGTCTTAGCCAGGACCTCCTCTTCCAGAAGTTCCTCGAGACGGGCAATTGCTTCCACGCGCTTCCCTTCGAGCTCGCAGATGGCAGTATCGTGCTCCGAAGCTTGCTGGTCAATCGTGTCAAGAAGGCGGCGCTCTTCCCCCGAGCTTCTTTCAAGATCAGCTCCCAAAGCCTCAATTTCAGTAACTTTATCTTGAATAAGTTGGTTGAGTCCCTCGATCTGGATATGAGCATGATCCAGTTGGAGAGCAGTAGCCTCATGGGCGGCGGCGGCATCCACAAGCCTTCTATTAAGACCAGCTTCACGTTCACCAGCCTCCTGGATATCCACCTCCATGGACCTGATGGTACCGTCCTTGCGCTGCATCGAATCCCGGAGTTCCCCAACCTTCCCTTCAGTGGATTCAATCTGCCGCCTAAGTTCGGAGAGACGTGACGTAACCAACCCGAGGACACCCTCCTCAGCCGGCAATTGCTCGCCCTCGACTCCAACAGTGATCGCAATGTCATCCAGATACTGGCCATAGAGACTGCGCTGTTTTCTCTCCTTTTCCTTCTCCTTCTCAATCTCAACCGCCCTGGTCCGCGCCTGATTCACCTTCTCGTACAGCTCCCCAACTAGACTCCTCAGGACTTCCAACGCATCCTCATTCGAGCCGGTCCAGGCAAAGTCATCCAATTCATGGCCTTCAAAAGGCGAATTCTCACTCTGGGCACACTGAGAATACAGCTTTTCAACGTAACCTCTAACTTCTCTAAAGCGGTCCGTCAACCTTTCCACCGTCTCTTCGGGATTGAGGGAGCCCATATCCACCCCCTCATCTGTCTGGGCCAATATCTTGATCTTCTTGGATAACTCAGTACGAAGTCGCTCGTTTTCATCCGCGCGGTTCTTCTCCATAACTAACTCCGTCAAAACCTCCTCCACTGCCATATCTAGAGATTGCTCTCCGTGGATATAGGGTCGGATCTTCTGTTGAATCATAGATTTCTCTTCATCGGCGAGAGCGGAGGCTTGCTTCAAGGTTCTGATTTCGGCATTGAGAGCATTGATGTCTTGACGCAAGCTAGTATTACCTCCGTGAGCATCTTGAACCGCGGCCTCAAGAAAACCGACTTTCTCCTCCAACTCTTCGATATTCTGCTTCAGCGATTCTCTATCCCTATTTGAATGCTCAAGCATACTAGTCAAAGAAGCAATTTCCTCCTTGTACTCGACGATTTCCGATTTTAGGCGGCTATTCTCGGCCTGGGCATCATCTCGTTCCTCTTCCAGAATACTAATCTGTAAATTCAGGCCTGCAATGGTTTTGTCAAGATCTTCTTTCTCTTTTTGCGCGATCTTGCCTGCCCTAGTTAAGCCTTGGATTTGAGCCATCATCCCACCCATGTTTATTTCCATCTGTTCTTTTTCGTTCTTGGTCGCCTCCTCAGCCTGCTTAAACATGTCGATCTGAGTGTTGAGATTAAGGATTTCGCTTTCAAGATCCGCCGTTTGGTCATCCGAAAGCTTGACTGTCGCCTCGAATGCTGATACCTGCCTCTGGAGAAAATCGATTTCACGCTCTAGGCCTTCCTTTTCCGAATTGGAGGTGATCGTAGCTTCCCGTAGCGAGGTTATCTGAGATGTGAGTTGGACAATATCACTCTCAAGACGTGTTTTATTATGGCCAGCGGTTTCAAGGGCAGATTGATGTTGAGAAATTTGATCCTGTGATTTTTGAATTTCCTCTTGGAGTTGAGCTCTCTCCGCATTCGAGGCATCGAGTGCTTCCCGAAGCGCGTCAATATGGGTGTCAAGTTCAGTAATCTGAGTTTCCAGTACCCCACTCTCAGATTGCGATCTCTGAAGGGCTGCCTCAAATACAAGTATTTGATTCTGGAGAGTTGCGATTTCGCTTTGGAGGTTAGCTTTCTCCCCGTCCAATGCCACAATTTCATGCTCCAGAGAATTAATCCGGCCATTTAGCCCGCCAATATTCTCCTCCAGATTCTCCTTCTCCTCCCGTGCAAGCTTAAGCGCCTCTTCATAATCCGCGATTTTGGTTGATAGCTCCCCCCGGAGACCACGAAGTTGATCTTGGAAAGCAACACCCTCCGATACAGATGATTCGAGGGTTTTCTTGATCGAGGCGATCTCAACCTGCAACCCGGTGATATTGTTCTCAAGGCGTTCCCTCTCAACCTCTGAAACTTCGCGGGCATTCTCGAGCTCCGAGGTCCTGGCAGAAACTTGAGCCCGAAGCTCGTCTACATCAAGCCGAAGAACAGCTTGAGCTTGGTTCGATTGCTCCAATGCAGCCTCACCACCTTCAATCCGGTCCTGCAGTTCGCTGACATCCTTCTCGAGCTTCTCTTTCATATCCTCGGCCTGTTTAAGCATTGCCTTGTGATCTGCAATATCTGCAGAGAGTCGGGCACGTAGCTTGTTGACGTCGTTCTCGAGTTCAGCCTTCTTAGCGTCCGCATCTCTAGCGGTCTCCCGGAGGGAATGAATCGTGTCATTGAGCCCAACAAGTTCACTATCAAGGCATTCCTTTTCCTCGCTAACGAAATCAAGTTCGTTTTTAGACTTTTCAACCTTTTCCTCCAAAACTCTTACTTGAGACCGAAGATCTGAGTTTTGCGATTCCGTGAAGCTAGCATCCTCATCGAGCTCAGATATGCGATCTTGGAGTACACCAATCCGAGATTCAAGTTCGGCGATACGTTCAGCGTGCTCTTCCTGCTCTCGAGTTGAGCGATCAAGCTGGTTCTCAAGATCCCAGATATGGTTTCGAAGGTCTTCAATAGTGTTCTCCAAGCTTTCCTTATCTGTTTCCGAGACTTCGACCGCTTCTTCGAGCTTATGGATCTGATCATTCAGGCGACAAATCTGAGCCTCCAAATTTCCCTTGTCGTCCCCAGAAATCTTAAGTTGCTGCTCCAGATCCAATACTCGGGCATGAAGGGCATCAATGCTGTGAAGGAAGCTCTTTTTCTCCTGGGTTGATAGTCCAATCGCTTTTTCGAGGGAATCGACCTGCGAACGAAGCTCTGATATCGTTTTCTGGAAGGCCTCATTGGCTTTTTGCGCAGCCCCTATAGCATTGGTTTGGGATTTAAGCTCATCACGAAGAACCTCGATCTCGATCTCCAAACGGTCCTTGGTTTCCCCAGCAGCCTTGGCCGCTTCTTCATGCGTCTCAATGTCGAGTTCGAGTAGATGAAGACTCGCCTGAAGAACAGCGTTATCTTCCCCGAGGTGGCCGACAGTTTTCTCCAATCCTGTTATCTTCTCTGTTTGGATGTTGACTTCCTGCTTTAATCCGGCGTTCTCGACACGCAATTCCCCAGTCTCGCGTTCTAGGATCGCCAGCTGGTCTCTTAATTCGTCGGTTTCGACTGCCATCTCAGCCCGCTCAGCTTCCAAGATTGAGATCTCCTTCTTCAACAGGTCTATCATCTTACTCAGGTCCTGAAGCTGAGAATTAACATCTTCCTTGGAACGTTCTCCGTCTTCCACCGCTGCCTCCAAGCGAAAAACTTGATCCATAGTCTCGCGGAGCCTCGCGTCGACAGCATTCTTTTCCGCAGCAACAACCTCAGCCATCTCCTGCAATTCTGCAACTTGGGCATTAAGCCTTTCCACGTTCTCCTCCAGTAGAATCGTCGCTTCATCCACCACCTCATCCGTTTGCACCATCAAATCCTGCATGCTCTCCAGCCTCTCCCCTTCCATCTCCTCCAGTTCGATGATCCTCTTCCTGAGAGTTTGCTTCTGGCTCTTCAACCTCAGCACCTCTGTCTTCAGCGCTTCAGTTGTCTCTTCCTGTTCAACCAATCCAGTCTGCGATTCTCGAATCTCTTCCTGCATAACTTGGATCCGATCGGTTAAGTCATCAATCATCCTCTGGAGGCCTCCATTCTGATCCTCAAGCTCGGATATCTTCTTCGAGTGGGATTCAGATTCGTAAACATTGATCTCTGTCTGAGTCCTGGTACCGGTAGCCTGAAACCGGCTTGACGTGCTATCAATAGCCGAAGAAGGGAAACCCATGTCGTCATGAAGCTGCTCGGTATCAGATACGTCATCGTCAAAGTCATCAGCAGTAGGGCCAGTGTAGGCATGATCGAGATCCGCATCAATTCCCTCCTCAACATCTTCAAACGCCGCAGCCGTATCATTGGCCTTTGATTGCTCTGCCTCAAGATCATGTATTTTTTCCATCAGAAAGTTATTCTTCTCCAGGAAAATTTGTTCTTCCGCGTCGTGGAATATTTCATCCTCCTGCGCGCGGGCGGCTGCCTCCTGCTCACGATGTTTGATATCCTCCCTCAGTTGCTCGATCATGGCCTCGAGATCCCTTATTTTCTTGTCGCGTGTCGAAACCGGGGTTTCCTGTCCACTTCCATCCGCACTTTGTGTCTCTCTTCTGAATGGTGTGGCAGGCGGTGAAGGTGAGTCGACGGGGGGCGCGTATCCCATGTCATAATCTTCAGCTTGCGGAGCATCGTTGTGTTCGGGCTCTTCTTCACGAATAGGAGACATGGGCTCAGGCTCTTCGGATGGCGCATATCTCGCAGCAACAAGCTCTCTCTCCAAGTCCCGCAATCGCTCTGCACTCTGAGCCAATTCAGCCCTTAATTTGGCCAGCTCTTCCCTATTCCTCCTCTGTCCTGCTCGTCTCTCGTCGTCAATATTATTCATTTCCTCGCTCAGAGCATTTCGACGAAGGGCACGACGGGTGCGGGCCGACAGAGCCTGTTTCAACGGGTAAAATTGTATCTCTCTTGAGACAGGTGCAGGGAAACTAATCTGTTGCGGAGGAGGCTGTATCGGAGCTGCCATGGTATGGCGGCGACGGCTGGAACCAGAGGAGCGACGACGGGCTGTGGAAGCCACCCCCGGGGGCTTGCGAGGAGGCACGGTGGTAGACTGTTCGGAAGATCCAAGTGATCCACGTGCTCCGGAACTTGGAGAGACGATGGGTGTGCCAAGTATAAGACGGGGACCCGGATCGGAACGCCGAACTTTCTTGCCCAGTAATACCCCCCGTCTTAGACCATGGTCGTCGCGAGATGGCCCCGCCGGTGAAGTTGGACGAGGGGCGGAAGAAGGGCTCGACGAGATAGTGTTTTCACGCTGAACATTGACAGAGGATGGGCCAGCACCAGACATGGAACGGGTGTTGGGTGTCGAGCGACCATTCGGGAGCGGAAGGTTACCACTTGTCCGGCGAGTGACAGGGGTATTCAAGGATGGAGCAGCATCGGCTGGCGAGCGGGTGGGAACGGCCGTAACTGGAGAGACCAGGCTAGTTCGTCTTCTTGTTCTCCCCGCCGGAGTAGAGGAAGGGGCGTAATTCTGGATTTGGGGGACACCAGCAGGAAACTCCATAGCCTTCACAATCGCAGCAAACGTATTCCAATCATGACTGCTCGGACTGACCTCCCGCCGTCTCTTCTCCGCCTCAATTATGGCTCGTAGTTTTGGCGTAAGGAGATAAGTGCCATCGTTTGTGGCAGAGAGCCAGCCCTCTTGAGCAAGCTTCTTCGCCGTCTGTGCAAGGGAAAAATCAAGCGATCAGCAACAAAGACATATCCGTTGAGTCCAGGGGTAACATACAAGCAGGACGCGTTTTCGCCACGACCCGGGCAGGGCACATTTCTGAGAATCACAATCCCGTTTGTAACGAGCCTCTACGGTCCACATTAACACGTCCATCCGGACAAAAGCGAACAGTAAATCATGATTGCGTGTATCGTACCAATAGATGCAAGACGGATAGGCCTCGCATGTTTAGGATTATAGAAGGCATCGATTGCCGCAAGCACTCGTACCCTGTACGAGAAAGGTGGTGGGGCCATCGCAGGCAACTGCGCGCAGCTCCCCCCGACGGGCTGCTACGATAAAAATATAAAAAAAAAGAGTAGATGGCACTGGTATCGTACAATACAATGTACAAATGGCGCCCCCAGAAAATACTAGACGCGGTAACTTGTAAAATGTCTGTAAAGCAGTAGCAATCTCAGCTAAGGAACGTTCACGGGAGAGAGAGGCAAGTGGAGCACAGATTAAGAAATTGGATGTAACAGAAAATGTGAAGTAAGTCAACACGAGGCAAGAGATCAACTTGAAGAAGCAATGAAGGGATGGAAGCAATGGAAGAATTAAAGTTGTAGTAAAGCGGATCCCAATGATAATTACCTTCTGGAACAGAAAGCAAAGGTCCGCCGTACCGTACAATGAGGCGTATATTATTCCGGATGATTGATGGTGGGGATGATGAGGTGTACTCGAGTACTCGTACAGTCCAAACGAGGAGGAAAGACTGGGTCAGAGAAGACTCAGAAGAGAGGGGGGTGGGGGAACAGCAAAGCAATTCACGCGTGCCCGTGCCACTCGCAGCTTCCGTGTCCGACTCGAAAGGGGAAAGGCGTGCTTTTTTACCGATGGTTCTGCTTCGGTACTCGAGTACGAGTACTCGTACAGTGCTCGAGTAATAAGTTAAGGTTACCAGTGTGAGTGCGAGTAAAGTATGGCAACACCCAACGGTAGGAATATCACCCTCGTCCTGTCCTCCTCCTTTGCATTCGCGCGTTGAAACGGCAGTCAATAGAGTCGAACTTCGCTTCCTAAGAAGAAGAAGAAGANAGAGANAGAGAGAGAGAGAGAGAGAGAGAGAGAGAGAGAGAGAGAGAGAGAGTAGTAGTAGTACGTAGTACGTACGTACGTACGTACGTACGTAC